CGCTTACAGTCTTATGTACACTTCCACAAATATTACCCTGCGTATGCAAATCTTTTTGATGTCATTCTACCTTCATATTTTAGCTGTGTGTTCAGTGCATGAATAATTAACCTGCACACAAACACACTCACACAGAGGGGAGTCATGCTGCCTGACAGACAGAACAGGAAACACACACACAGACAGGAAACACCAGCACGACAAACAACTATGCACACACATGTGGTTACACGCAGATAAAGAGACCCACTGACCAACAATGCCACAAACAGTCCTGTGGGAAAACCAGAAACCTGACACTGATACGGACAAGAAAATAAAAAACATCGAAACCTATATGAGGGCTGTGCGATTTTGTCAAAATAAATCACATTGGTATTATTTTGACAAACATTGAGTGTGAAATTGAAACTGTGAAATCATAAACATTTAACGTCCCAAGCAACCGCCCTTGTTCAGCAAGTATTCTTCCATTCACTTTCTCCATAGGGATTTTTATAAAATTCAAAAAAGAATAGAGCTGTGAATCATAATGCATCTTTGAAATCAAATGGTACTTCTTTCCTTATGAAATAAAGTAGACTTTAGCATACTTTTAAAAAGAGTATTTATTACAAAAATAATAAACTAAAAGAATATACTTAAGTGTGAACAGAATGTAATGTTTTTGGACACTTAAATGCATGTTAATTGAATTTAAATTCAATTTATATTAAATGCAATTAGTTGAACTTAAAAGTGATTTTTTTTGACCCACTTAAGTAGGACGTAAATACATCTCTCTATGTAATTTCATAATTACTTCTTTGAAATATGGTTAAAGTGTACTGCTGAGTAGTAAGGCAAACTATATTTTAATACACTGAACAAAATTATAAACGCAACACTTTTGTTTTTGCCCCCATTTTTCATGAGCTGAACTCAAAGATCTAAGACTTTTTCTATGTACACAAAAGGCCTATTTCTCTCAAATGTTGTTCACAAATCTGTGGACCAACATTCCACAGGCCACAATCAACAACCTGATCAACTCTATGCGAAGGAGATGTGTTGCACTGCGTGAGGCAAATGGTGGTCACACCAGATACTGACTGGTTTTCGGACCCCCCCGGACCCCCCCAATACAGTAAAACTGCACATTTTAGAGTGGCCTTTTATTGTGGCCAGCCTAAGGCACACTTGTGCAATAATCATGCTGTCTAATCAGCATCTTGATATGCCACACCTGTGAGGTGGATGGATTATCTCGGCAAAGGAGAAGTGCTCACTAACAAAGATTTAGACAGATTTGTGAACAATATTTGAGAGAAATAGGCCTTTTGTGTACATAGAAAAAGTCTTAGATCTTTGAGTTCAGCTCATGAAAAATGGGGGCAAAAACAAAAGTGTTGCGTTTATAATTTTGTTCCGTGTATATACTTTAATGTCATTTCTATTGAAACTTGTATATCATGTATTTTATGTATTTTAAGCTGCCGTTTAGTACATTTGAAATATTTTCACTTTAAATGTAATATTAAATAACACACTAAAGTTAAAATTATAATCAAGATTTTACATGTGCATGTGATGTGTTGATTTACATAGTATGTTAATCAACACATCAAAATAAATGTACATCTTTAAAGCAAGATAAAATTTTATTAAAACAATTATTTAGTCAACTTTAAAATAAAACTTTAAATTGACATTATTACAAAGTGCACATTTTAAAAGTGTACTTAAATGACTCTCTTTAAGTGCACTTAAGTGACCTTCTATTTCATTAATATTACATTATCTGCACGTATTTTTTATTTACTTTTAAGATTTTTAGGTACACTAAAAGTGCACATTCAGTACAATTAAGCGCACTTCTTTTTCACAAGGGTTGATCTGAAGTGAAAGAAGTACATAATATTCCTATAGTATATGATATAAACGATCTGCAAAAGCAACTAAGAATGAGTCAAGTGTGAAAAGACTGTAAAAATTAATTAGCCTATAACACCTTACAGAAAAAAAGACAAAACAAAATGCTGCTCATTTACTTTGAACTTTGACTATTTATTTCATTAAATCGCAGTGTTTCACAGTTTAATAAAGGCTATACTGCTTTTTAATGAGCTGTTCAGACCTAAAAACGCTTCACCTTCCTTCATCAGGCACTTAAAATAATCGATGCCTTTGTAGGTAAAACATCGATCTAAATTGATGAGCGTGTCTTTCTTTGAGGGCCTGTAGAGTTGATTAGATTTACAAGTAATGGGGTCTAAGGCTTATTGGAAAATTTAAACACACACAGATCTGAGACTCACACAGCTCCTCTTAACACACTCCTGTGATCAGGCAGATGTCATTGAGGGTATTGACGTGCTAGCGCTCTCGGGGTAAGGGCTCTGATTAGTTCACGTTAGAGGAAACCGGTGCCTTTGAGACTGAAGTGTAATGAGTTCATGTCAACACAGAGCGCTTCTGGTCTCTAACCACCTCCAGAGTGTGTATCTGACAAGATCACACACTGTATTTAGCAAACTGTGTCCTTTATTGAAGTTTCTATTGTTTAATGTATTGTTTTTTTGTTTAAAGATATTGTGTCACATTGAAGTTTATATTGTATTAATTTGTTCCATGTTAAAATACTTTTTCCTATAGCAGTTTAATATGCAAATGTGAAACCACACGGTGTGAAAACCATGTGTCTGAAACGTCTGGCTCAACCAGTGGTGTGATTGAGAGGTGAGACTACCTGCCTCAACAATGACAGATGGGAAAGTATTCGGAAAACCTGTGTATATTTTTGCAAAACTAATGTCTAGTAATGCATCAAAATGTTGGCAACAAAAATATTCATTCGAAACAGCAAAAAAAAAAAAAAAAAAAAAAGGC